CCCCCCTTCTAACCTCTTTTTCTGCTCTTGTGTTCTACTCCTCCCTGCACAGCATACACATCTGTTCTCTCTCACACACACAGGTCACGTGCAGAGAGGTACAGACAAAACGTTCTCCACATATAATTATAGCCTCTGGGTTTGTTGACGTTTCAAGCCCTATGTCTACCAGAATTCTAATCACTTTTCAAGGGTAGGCTTTTCTGCTCCAGCCTTTTTCTTATCTTATAACCTACCTCCTCATCCTCAGGACCAACCCAGTGAAAACAAAACCTTTGGACACCCGGGATTTACTCTGCACTGCTTCGGCTCTGTAACGCCTTTGGAGGTCTCTCATCTCTTCCCCACTGCTGGCCTGTATATGCCTGCTGCAGGTCAGGATTTCCCTGCCTAACCTCTGTAACCCCAGGGAATCTCAGACTTTAATACTTGCTAAAAGATGTGCATTGGGAGGCAACCAAAACATCTTAGTCTACTTCACCATCACTTACTTGGAGCAGCTGTCTCAGAAGTTTAAGAAAAACAGTACTCTTGCAGAAGAGATGACTCATTAGCAAACCTAAGAAAATGTTGCTACGTCCTTGCAGCCTAAAAAAAGTTCAATATAAACATTCAAACGGTACCTGGAGAATTTTTGTATTTCTCCTTACAGTACTCTACGTATATAGATCAGTGTTCTTATATTTAACTGAAATTAAAATCTAAATTATAATCTAGTTATTGCTCTAAAGTTTACATACTTTGTAATTCAGATTCTAACCCTTGCTGGCTTGATTTACCTAATGTTTTTATTCCATTTGTTAAATACCACCTCACATTTTCCCTCACTGTGCTACAGACTGGCTATCTGCAAAATAACTAATGGTAAATGCCTTACATTCATAGCCCAACTTGGAAAAGTGCTTTAAAACAAGCCCCTTGAAGTGATATTCTTAAGACTAAGAACCCCAGTAAAGAAAATACTAAATTAAACGTTCATATAATAAACCCCTTAATATCAAAGCACCGACAGTATTCAAGAATCTATAACCAAAGCTCTTAAATTTCAAACTATTCTTGAATTATCCAGAGAGCTTCCAGGTTCTTATCCAAAGAAAAATATTTCGATTCCGTAAAGCCAGGGTGGAGCCTAGAAACCTGTACATCAACCAACCAGCATCCCCAGGCGATTCTGATACAGGTGTTTCGAAGATCTCAATTAGAGAAACACTGCGCGCTCCCCGCGTCCAGGGGCACTACCGAGTGGTTTATGGGCAAGTGGGCACGCATCACTTTCGAAAGGCCTTTTGCAAAACTGCTGTTACATCACCCCTAAGTAAAGGGTGATTTGCATAAAGGAAAAATGAAGAAAGGTTGCTAGCGGGTTGAATGAGGCCGGAAAACAATGAAAGACTAACAGTGCCATTTCTTTCAAACCTCTGCACCGCTTTCTCCAAGCATCCCCGGCTCATCCGAGGATGCTGCTCTCTACAGGGAGCCGAGCCCAGCCCAGCGCAGCCGGGTAGCCGGCTGGAGGATGCGAAGGCGTCGCCGTTCCCTGGCCACCTGCCGCCTCGCAAGTAGAGGCGCCCAGGGAGGACGCGTGACCCCGGCCCTTTCGGCTCGGTGGCGCCTCACTCACCTGCCCCGCGGCCGCAGCTCGGTGTCGTCGTCGGGGTCCGGGTCCCTCGGCTCCTGCTCGCCCGCCGCCGCCGGCAGCGCCTCGGCGTCCTCCACAGTCACTTCAGCCGCGGCCACAGCCCCCGACGCCGGTCCTCGCGCGGCCGAGGTGGGGGCGGCCGCAGCCCCCA